CTCCTGGGTTCAGGCAATTCTCCTGCCTCAGCCTCCTGAGTAGCTGGGATTACAGGCACGTGCCACCATGCCCAGCTAATTTTTTTTTGTAGTTTTTTAGTAGAGACGGGGTTTCACCATGTTGACCAGGATGGTCTCGATCTCTTGACCTCGTGATCCACCCGCCTCGGCCTCCCAAAGTGCTGGGATTACAGGCTATACTAAAATTGGAACGATACAGAGAGGATTAGCATGGCCCCTGCGTAGGGGGATTGTTTAAAGCCCCTAAACACATTGGAATGAAGAGAATAAGGGATCAGGAAAAGAAACAAAGGAACTTTCCAAGCTCTATTGCTCCTGTGCCTTTTCTCTTTCTACAAGAGTCCTAAGACTGAGGGAGCAGCCAGGAAGCAACCGATGTCCTGTTGCTGAAACTCCTGTCTATATAGTTTTTAGTGAAAAAAGGACACTAAAAATATCTTTAAAAAATGCATTGTTTGAGAATAGGTAGCTTCCCCCTTGAAAAAAAGATGAGGGAACACCCAGAATTGGATGACAAATTAATATGCAACTTGTCCATGCCAACTCTTCCAGCCAGCTTAATTCTCATCAGCCACTATAATTTATTAACAGTGAGGTGAGAAAAGACATGAATCAGCTTAATGTAATATAAGTAGGGCATTGCCATAGTAACAAGATGCAGTCTGTTTTCTACTATTTATGTATGGTTTATTTTCTCCAGAGCCTCTGAGTTATTGCTTGAAACAAATGGAATGAGAAACATCTTGTTCTGCACATCCCCACCTGGCCCCTCAGCGTGTAATGTATATAGAACCACATTTTTTTTTGATAAGAGAAAAAACAAAAGCACTTGAATTTTTAGAAAATTGTATTTATAGCAAAAAGCCTAACTACGTAGTTTTCAATCCACTGTGGTTTTGCAGAACTCAAATGTTTTTTATTTTTGTTTTTTATTTTCACCTCTGAGACACACGATTCCTCATTGAAACCTCTGGGAAAAGACCCAAAACACATGCTGGAAGCAAACATGAGGCTAATACTGCTGCTCAAAGGAAACATTCATGTTCTCTACCCAGAATTCTTGACTGGCTAGAACCAACTCCCCACAAAGAAGGAGTGAGAAGACTAAGCCTGGTGACAATTTTTTATCTTACTCAATCTCAAATATTCAGAAGAAAAGCCCAGACCAGGCAAGAAACCAGGGCCTGAGATTGTGACACTCTGTCTCTTTGTGGAGGGCACTACCAATACTTACAAAATCGTACCCAGCAGTAAGCATCCTCACTCCTTGCCTGAAGCCCCCTGCATGGAAGAGCCACATGCCATAATTTTTCCAATTCTGCACTTTCCTCTGAGGATGTAGAATTTAGAGTTTTTAGTTCAAAGATGGGCATGGTCATCTCCAGGTCACAGAAAACATCAAGGTTTCAGTTGTGCAGGAAAGGAAATAGCAGAGTCCCTCAGCCACTCTCTTTCCTCTTTCTAGCTGCCAGTTCCTATAATCATTGCTCCCATGCTTTAAAAGGAAATGGAGGAAACATACAATGAAAGGGAAATTTAACTCTCAGTAGTACCTTCACTCTGTACAAATTTGGTGTTTGTTTATTTGGATCTTGACATCACACTGATCAGATCCGCATTGTCCCATAGCCATCTAGCCCATGGCTTCAGGCTGGAGCTAAAGATGCCTGGAAATGATCAGCAGCCCTCACCTCCCATGAAAGAGGCCCCCAGACCTCAGATTCTAACATGCTCACCTTCAGCATCCCAAGAGCCCACACCTTTTCAGATCCTCCTCCACTGCACAAGTCTGAGAAGAAAGGAAATGGAGGGAGAGTATTCTGACCACTTCTGGGTAACCTTTGTATTCAGGAAAGGCCCTTCTCCTACCCCATCTTCTACTGGAAAGAGGTACATACTATTCTAATTTATATTATCTATTAGTTTTGTTGTTCTTAAACGTCATATAAATGAAGTCATATCATATAATTCTTTTTGCATCTGGCTTCTTTTGCTCTGCATAGTATCTGTGAGTAACATCCATGAATGATATTATGTGAGTGATTTATTCACTTTAGGTTCATAGTACTGTGTGCATATTCCATGTTATATTCATCCATTCCCTATTGATGAACATTTGAGAGTTTCCAGTTTGGGGCTATTGTGAATAAAGTTCTATGAATATTCTTATACATCTCTTTTGATAAGCATGTGCAATTATTGTTGAATCATAAGGTAGGTTTAGTAGTTACTGTCCAAATTTCCAAGGTGATTGAACCAATTTACACTCCCAACACATGCTTGCCAACACTTGGTATGGTTACTCTTTCTAATTTTAGCCATTCTGGTGAGTGAGTAGTAATATCTCATTGTAGCTTTAATCTGCATTTTCCTGATAATCAGGTTGAGAAGTTTTTCCAAGTGCGGGGCCCTGGACACCCTATGTGGCCTACACTTCCCCAGCAAGTATCCCCATTCCTGAGAGAGCAACACATTCAATAACAAATAAAAACCACAATGACACAGGGAGAAAGAGACCACAGAATAAAGACAAAGGCATTTTTTCCTATAAAGGAAAATAAAACAGGAGGCCTGCATTTTCGTTTTGCACAGGATCCCACTAATTGTGTTCCTGGACTCCACCCTCCAACAGCTGAACCCAAATCTGGGTAGGGTCTGGGATTCTGCATGTTTATCAAGATGCCAAAATGATTAGTATGCCCATTCTTCATACTCTCCAATCAGCATATAAATATGTTTAATTCTTAGGAGTTCAGAAAACAAAAAAAACCCGACAAATGAAACCTTCAATACCAGCTCTCTCCTATGCCCTTCATGGCACACTTGATAGAGTCATCTCTGTGTACTGCCTTCCTTTCTCCTCTGTCCAATCCTCAGCCCACTGCAAACCGACTTTAGTTGATACCATTCCATAGAAACTTCTCTTGGCTACTGTGTGCTGTGGTTCACATCTGTAATTCCAGCACTTTGGGAGGCCAAAGCAGGTGGATCACTTGAGGCCAGGAGTTCGAGACCAGCTTGGACAACATGGTGAAACCTTGTCTCTACTAAAAATATAAAAATTAGCTGGATGTGGTGGCACATGCCTGTAATCCCAGCCACTCGGGAGGCTGAGGCATGACAGTTGCTTGAACCCAGGGGGCAGAGGTTGCAGTGAGCCGAGATTACACCACTGACTCCAGACTCAGCCACAGTCTGAGTGAGACTCAGTCTCAAAAAAAATAAGAAAGAAACTGCCCTTGCCAAGGTTGGCATGTACATTTTTAGCCTCAAAATCTCAGGTATATTTTTTAGTTCTTGTAATAGAAATCTTAATTTAAAGTATTTGCTTATTTATTCATATCTTCTTTCACAGCCCTCTTTCTCAATCAGGATCAATTCCTAGTGGCCCAGCGTATACTTGAGATCTCCTCTGGCCATAGGTGATTAGATCAGGGATGGTCACCTGAATTTATTCCAGGGAAATCACTTTCTCTCTCTTTTTCTTGCTCTCTTGTCTTCCCCTTTCTCTCTCTCTCTCTACCTTCCTCCTCCCCCATTTCTTCCTCACTTTTCTTCCCTCCATCTCTTTTTTCCTTCCTCTTTTCTTCCCTTCCTCTTTCCTACCCTAGCTCTGGAATTGGGATTCTACTTTAATCTGACCAAGTCTTTTAGCCAGAGAAGCCATACCCCAGAACAATTGGTCCCATTTTCTGGTTCCTATGTAGCCTCATGAGCCAAGGAAGGATGTCTGCAGAAAGAAGAGAATACAGCAGATAGGCAGAGAAAAGCTTCGAGGGTGCTAAGAGCCTTAAGTTCTTATTTGCAGTCCTTGCTTTTGGGTCCATGAGATATTCCTGTGCCTTTATAATCTATTCTTTCTTTTTCCTTAAGCTTACCCAAGTTAGTTTCTGTTACCTGCAACCAAGCAGTCCTAACTGATACCATCTTTATTTTTCTCAGCTTCTTAGAAGGGTTGGCTCCTAGTGGGTACCCCTTCCTTCTTGCCTACTTTCTTCTCTTTAGTTGGATGACTCAACTCTCCTGAGTTTCCTACAGCTGCAATCACACCTGCATAGACTTCTGTACTGTATCCTGCTTCTCCCCTAAGTGTGCTGTTTCTCAAGTGCTGTTTCTGCTCCCTTTTCTTTCTCATTTTAACACCCCCATGGTCAGCCATTGTGTTTATCACCTCTCTGTTGATGAGCCCAGCCATCATCAGTCTCCTAAGTCCCAGGTCTCCCTGCCTACTACTTGCATGTTCCACACGTGCCTCAGACTCACTAAGTCCAAAACCAGAGTCATTATCATCTCCCTCCTCTCAAGCCTCCTCCTCCTCCTGTGTTCTCTATCACAGGGAATGGTACCACCCAACGATTCAACAAAACGTCTGGCCACCATCCCCAACCCTTCCCTCTCTCTCCTTGACATCCACCATCCACTAGCCAACAAAGTTCCCAGTCCTGTGCATTCGATCTCCTAAATATCTCCTGAAAACATCAGCTTCCCTCCATTGTCACTGCCTCTAGGCTAATGTTCCATTCTTTTGCCCCAGCTCATAATTGGTCATTTGCTTGTAGTGTTGCCCTCATTTTTCCCACCAAGCCCAACCCACTGTCTATATCCAGAGTGATATCAAGAACAAAAATTGGACCCACTCTTTCCCTGTTTCTGATGTCCCCATTTACCTTGCATTAAAGCCTAGCCTCCTTCATATGATTTGCAAGGCCCTGCATGAGATGTCCCTGCCTGCTCTCTAGCCTCAGCTCTCTCTATTCTCAGCATCTGATCACAGTACACAGTTCCTCTAGGCCTGTGCACATGCTGTTCCCCTCATCCCTATCACTGTTGTTCTTCTGACCTCCCTCCACCCTGTTTAACATGGTTAACTCTTACTCGTCATTCAGGTCTCAGCTTAAAGTCTCTTTCTGTGGAAGTGTTCCTTGGTCTTCACACCTTAACCCTGTCACCCAACCATGCTGCATTATAATTGCCTGTTGACTTATGTCATCCCCATTAAATCTGAAGATCAATGAAGGTAGGGCCATACTCTTCCCTTCTGGCACAGTGCCTGACACATCATAGGGATTAATGTTCGTTGACTTAATAAATGATGCTGGGGCTCTTCAAGTTCTTTAACATGCATGAAAGGCAGGTTTAGAGATGGGAGAGGGTAAATGAGAATAAGGAATAAGCAAGGTACAGATATGGAGAAGATCACATTTTAGGCAAAAGTTTGATTTTGATTCAGTCAATGAGAGGAAGTGGTTGATGAATTTTATTCCCCAAATATACGTTCACTTGAGATGGTCAGTTGCTTTATCTCTTTGCTCTACATCATCTCTGTACTTTGTTTTATGCTAATCATCTCTCTCAAATTCCATTCCTGGCTGGGCGGGGTAGCTCATGCCTGTAATCCCAACACTTTTGGAGGCCAATCAGGGAGGATCAGTGGAGCCCAGGAGTTCAAGACCAGCCTGGGAAACATAGGGAGATTCCTTCTCTTCAAAAAAGTAAAAAAATTTTACTTTAGTAGCTAAGTATTCCCAGCTACTCAGGAAGCTAAGGTGGGAGGATGGCTTGAGCCTGGGAGTCCAAGGCTGCAGTGAGTCTTGATTGCACCACTGCACTCCAGGCTGGGAAACAGAGCAAGACTCTGTCTCAAAAAATAAAATTCCTTGTTTCAATCACATTTTACCTGCTTTCTGAAGCAGTGACTCATCCAGACTCCTCATTTCTGCCTAACATTCTATAATATTCTGAGCTGATACTATATAGTCTGTTACTTGATTACATTCTATTTCACTGCATGCTGTCATTTACTGTGGGTCACATGATACTTCTGTAAACCAGCATATAGGGGAGAGTGACTATTAACAAATAAATTAGGCTGGGCATGGTGGCTCACTCCCATAATCCCAGAACTTTGGGAGGCCAAGGCAAGTGGACACCTGAGGTGAGGAATTTGAGACTAGGCCAACATGGTGAAACCTGTCTCTACTAAAAATACAAAAATTAGCCAGGCATGGTGGCAGGTGCCTGTAATCCCAACTGCTCTGGAGTTTGAGGCAGGAGAATCGATTGAAACCAGGAGAAGGTTGCAGTGAGCCAAGATCGAGCTACTGCACTCCAGCCTGGATGACATAGCAAGACTCTGTCTCAAAAAATAAATAAAATAGAGAACCTGTAAGTAAACATTGTAAAGTATGTCCAAATAAATATTTTTATTCCAAACAGTCGTCATTCAAAATACTTTTGTAACTCTTCTTTGGAAATGGACTTTGGATCTCATTCATGAACTATATGAGAAATAGATTTGTTGTTTATTGTGACCCTGAGTTTTTCAGCCCCAAACAGTATTTACTCAGCTACCTTATTTTTTTCAGACTTGATTCCAAATGCTTTTTTTTGAGACGGAGTTTTGCTTTTGTTGCCTAGGCTGGAGTGCAATGGCACAATCTCGGCTCACCACTACCTCTGCCTCCGGGGTTCAAGCGATTCTCCTGCCTCAGCCTCCCAAGTAGCTGGGATTATAGGCATACACCACCAAGATCGGCTAATTTTTTGTATTTTTAGTAGAGACAGGGTTTTGCCATGTTGGCCAGGCTGGTCTCGAACTCCCACAGCAACGTTCAGTCAGAAAATCAGAGCCATCATAAGGTGACCCAGAACGAAGGCTTTATATATAGATTAGATTTTACACAATTATGGAATCTGGTAAAAATGCTCATTGCCTCTGCATCTAGTATGGCTCTGAGGTCTCTTTGTACCAGTAAGGTCAACAGTCAGCAAGAAAATCTGACATGAAGTTGG